TCCAACATCTTGGAATGCGATGCAATAACAGAATTATCCCTAATACGTACTCTTTTACATGGTTTTCTACTTTTCTTGTCTTGTCACTTGTTTATATTTTCGTTGGGTCTATATATTGGGCTTGACTATTTTTATCGAGGGAAACAAAAGAAGAAGGATTTTTCATATCCACGAATTCGAACACAAATTTGACGTGGACGCGCTTCTGTGATCACGCATGATTCACCTACCACTATATATAAATGATGGGCAGAACAAAGAACCAAATATCTAAAACTCGAAGAAACAGAGACATTTGTTTGTTTTTTTGGGGATTAGGGAAGTTTGTTTCTTTTCTCCTCGTGTTTCAGGTCTAACCCTAACCCTAAAAATCCAGCCATGTCTTCCAAGCAAGGTAATTGTTTAAATTTCCTTCCTTCTCTCAACTATGTTATATATCCAAAAGATTGCTCATGTTTAAAATTTTTTTTACTTAGGTAGATAAATCTCGGTTCGAATCAATCGTTTTGATTTATCTTGTGTCACAATTTTTATATGTGCTTGCTTTTTTATTTGATCTCATGGATTCATCCATCAACCTACCTACTGGTCTATTAAATCATGTGTGCTCTTGTGTCATTTCATTTAACATGGTTTCCCGTGTCTAATGTCATGCAAAATCAAGGTTTTCGGGCGATATGCAATATGATTCTTGATTGATCGGTTTATCTTTTGGTGTTTCAGGAGGGAAATTGAAGCCCTTGAAGCAACCCAAGTCTGGTAAGAAAGAATACGATGAGGTATGATCTTTCTTCAACTCGCTAACTATACCTTCTATCTTTGAAACTTTTGGCAGTTTGTAAAAACAAAGTGGGTTGATGTATTTCCAGCAGGATTGAATTTTGATATTCAAATGGAACTCGTAATCGTAAGAAAGTAGCTGGTTTAGTGCTTGAGTTTTGTCTGCAAAATTGTCATGGGCCCTGATCAGTCATGATCATAAACACCAGCTCCCAATCTAATTTTCACATGTTTACGTCAATTGCTGTCTTGAATGATGAGTTTGAATTGTTTAACGTTTGTTCAAAATGTAGCACGATATGGAGTTAATGCAGAAAAAGAAAGATGAAGAGAAGGTAAAACTTTTCCTTTCTTTTCTAAAGTAATCAAAAATAAAAACTTTACTTTCTTGCTTCTTCTATAATCTTAGTTTTAAAGTCATCGAAACTGATCATCATCCCTGTATTTGTGATGATGAAATCAGGCACTTAAAGAACTCAGGACCAAAGCATCACAAAAGGGATCATTCGGTGGCCCTGGGCTTAAGAAAAGTGGGAAGAAATAAGATATGTAAATCTCAAATCTTCCTTGTTTGTAACATCATGTCTGAAATGCTTGTCAATATACCATGACTAGTTATATAACCACCCTTAAAATCATGTTGTGGAACTAACAATAAGATGAGTTATGTAACTTCTAATTAAACAAAAAAAGACGATTTGCACCACCATTAACAAACAAAAAACACACAACAGATGTTTCTGAAGTTGCATCAAAACAGAGAGTACCAAAAAAGATTACAACTTTAGTCCCAAATTTTGCAAACTTAAACCATATTTTCTCCATCAAACACTACTACTAGTACCTTGGCTAAAATCTTGAATCCTATCACCACGAACACTTAAACCTTCCATTGCACTCTCTAACCCAGAACTCATCTCAGCCAAAACATGAGGATCATTGTAATGTTGAACCGCTTGAACAATGCTCCTAACTTTCTTAAACGGATCCGAACCATCAAAAACCTCAGAGCCAACGAAAACCCCATCACAACCTAGCTGCATCATCAACGCTGCATCAGCCGGAGTCGTAATCCCACCTGACGCAAACTGCACAACCGGAACTCTTCCCATCTGCTTCGTCTGAGCCACAAGATCGTACGGTGCAGATAACTTCTTAGCGAAAGCGAAAACCTCATCATCGTCCATGTTGTTCAACACTCTAACTTCACCCATCAATGACCTAACGTTCCTCACAGTCTCTGAAATGTTACCTGTTCCGGTCAGATCTCCTTGGATCCTGATCATCGCTGCACCTTCTCTGATTCGCCTCAAAGCTTCTCCTGTATCCCTGCAACCACATATGAACGGAGATCGGAAATTATGTTTGTTGATGAAATTATCCTCGTCCGCGACGGCGATGATCTCGCTCTCGTCGATGTAATCGACGGCGAGAGACTCCAAGATCTGAGCCTCGACGAAATGACCGACGCGAGCTCGTGCCATCACCGGAACAGACACAGCTCGTTTCACCTCTTTGACGAGAACCGGATCCGGCATACGACGGACTCCGGATCGAGATCGAACCGGATCTGAGACGATTACAGAGCATGCACCGGCCGATTCAGCGATCTTCGCCTGGTTTACAGATGAGACCTCGACAATGGCGCCGCCGCGAAGCACCTGAGCTAATCCGACTTTGACGGAGAACGGATGGTTTTTCTTCGCCGCGTCGGTTATCGCCGTTCCGCTGTAGAGAGTAACAGCTCCTTGATCTTGATCCGCCATTGTTTTATAACAGATATATTCGCCGGAGAAACGGATTTGAAAGATGTCGATGAGAGAATGAGAAGGTGCTTTGAAAGTGAAGAGAAATATAGAGAAAATGGAGAAGACGAAGAAGAGTGTGGTTTGGTCTAGAAGCTTCCGAGCCGGACTGTCAAAACAAGGTCGTCGTCACTGAGATCGAATTTAGGTCGCCGGTTAAAGGAGAAGAAATTCTAAGCGATGTCGTATTGGCGAAATGAGAAAAAACATAGTGGGCTTCCATTATGAAACGAAATACCCAGTAAGACGACTTTTATTTATAGCCGTTCGATATGGATACAACACGTGGCGTTATCGTGCGCGTTCCCGCTTCGTCCGACTTTAGTCCAAAAAGATATTTTTTAAAAAAAAATGAAATGATTTTTTTGTGTGACACGAGTCAAAGAAGAAAGCACGAAAATTACGAAATAAAGGGAAGAGAGAGCCAATCCAACAACTGTCTTACTTAGTGGCCCACCATGTGGGTACGTTTCTTAAAGACAATTGTCTCACGACCTACACGGCGTCGTTTAGTGCTCCTCACGTGTTTTTTGTTATTTTTTACAGTTTTCAAGTACGTAATTATTATGATTATGATATTTGTGTACGTGAATTTGCTCGTTCCTTAGATTTTACTCGATAAACACTGATAAAGTTGTAAAGTTTGTGATTTAGATGAGACAAAATCAGTCGACAAACAAAAATCTAAAATTGCTATTTTAATTGTTGTCACTATAAATGTAAAGTTGAAGAAAAAGGATGAATCAAATACCTTACTAGTATTCGAATTTAATTTTCATATTTTGGTCATATTTCTTGTGGGATGAGTTTTCTTATAACATAAACTATTTGTCCTTCAATTAGATTAAATATTAGATTACTTACGTGTTTGGTTCTGTTTGAATCGTAATCACACTGATTCACTTTATATGTAAAGTAGAAAAGAAAAGAATAAAATATCTACCAAGTATTTTGAATTTGGTTTTTCAAATTTCGATGGTTCGATTCTTGTTTCATCTATTTAACATTGTAATCCAAACGAGATATTTCTAAAGACTAAAACTAATTTTATATTTATATAGATTATGATTTAGATCTGAATTTCGAAATTATAAAAACATTTAAATTACATAAAATTCAAAAAAACAATAAAGTTATCTGGATTCAAAAATCATAATAGAAAAGTAGATTAATACTCCTATATAACTCATTTTTCACATAGTAATATGTAACACTATGTAGTAAAATAATAAGTAGAAATATTATGCAATCGAAATCCCATATAGAATTGGTCCACATAGAATAATTCATCTAATTTTATTAGGATGAATTAAAACGACGTTTAGAAATCGAGTTTAAGGGAGCGTTAGAGAGAGAGAGAGAAGCGACCAGTCCTCTACTACTCTGCGCTTTAATTTGAACTTGTG